TGGCCATAAAAACAAACCGTGTTAAAAAAATATGCACAAAAACACATGGCTGAGAAGTGCTGAGAAGTGCTAGTTATGCCACCCAGAATTCCTGTGTTTTTTGTTCTAACTTGAGAACTCAGGCAATTATTCTAATTATTTTCCTAATAAGACTTAATGTAGGCTATTCTTTAGCTATTCATGTTTACTCAAATGACTAATTTTCTTAAAGGAGCAGTGACCTTAGAGACTGATTAGAAGTATTAAAATTGTACGGGTAAGTAAGGAATTAGATCAACAGTGTAACTGAGAACTTGGCCTGGCGTTTATTTTCTCATTTCTATCCTATACATTTGGGAATTGAGTTTGAGATTCCTGGGTTTTTACACAGAGTATCCAGTTAAATGTGGTCTCTGCACAGTCTCTCTCTTTGAAAGAACATTATCCCGACTCGGAAACCACCCCATGAAAAATACCTCTGTTGTGAGTGAAAAGCCTCTTGTCACCCTCTCCTGAGCCCCTTGTTTCCCAGACTAGTCTCACTCGAGCTGTGCTGGCTGTGATCCTGGCCTTATTCCCTTCTCTCTGCCTTTGCAGGTCCTCACCATGTTTGAGGATAATTACCCAGAGGGGCTTAAGAGGCTGTTTGTAATTAAAGGTGGGTATTTCCTGGCAGTCAGCGACAAGGGGCCTTTTAAAATCTCCCTGTGCTGGAATATTCACTCAGAAAGTTAACAGCCCCACGAAAAGCATGACGATGAATGGGGTATATAACACTCCTCCAGTCCAGACTGGTGAAGCAAAATAAAAATGCTCAGGGTACAATGCATATTTGACATCATTAAAAAAGTACTGGGCGTTTCAAAATAATTATATAATCAAAGTAAGTAACAAAGAGAACGGGTAAATACTATTGGTTGAGAAAAATTACATATTCATTCTCGCATCTGTTTCTGTGTTTCATGACCACTTGAAAATTTGTCCTAGTAAAAATTCTAGGTTGCAGTTTTGAAGTATTTAGAAATGTGTCTGAAGAGCTATAACAAAGCAGAAACATCAGCAGAGTGTACACTGTCACCTGGGGTCTGGCCTGCATTGTCACTGAACTTAATTTAGTTCTTCAGATGGATACATTTACATTTCTTTGTATCTATTAATATCTTTTTTCCTGTTAGGTAGCATGTCATTTGACTATGGAAGACTGGACTTGACTGAATTGGTGTTTTTGTTGCTTGATGTGATTAAGCCTTGAATAATTGTTGTTTAGAATTTGGGATTTAGTATTTTCTGCTTTTTACTTTTTAATGTTTTTCATGTTCTTTGGAGACAGTTCTGTTATTTAATTTTATATCCTTGATCTCTGGAGTCAGAATTGGTCTGTGTTAGAATAGAGAGTTAGCACAAAGAGAAGTCCTGGGGTTACTAGACTGTATGTACCTTTCTATGTGAACTTAACCCTTACTGAGTGGTCAGGCAGGGACAGAAATGCTCGCTCTGAGCTGGAGTGCGACTGGAAGAGACAGTCCTCAGAGCACCAGTCCTGCATGATGAAGTACAGTTTGCCACCTGAAAGTTAAAGTGAAATAATGTTTAACCTGAAAGTTAAGCATTGTTAGAAACCCCACTGAATTTCTTACCCTTTCTGCAGCCCCCAAACTCTTCCCTGTGGCCTACAATCTCATCAAGCACTTCCTGAGTGAGGACACTCGCCGCAAGATTGTGGTATTGGGAGGTGAGATCAGTGCTTCACTCGAAATGGGTTGACTGCTGTCTTGCTGTCGATGTTGGAATATGTGTATGATCACTTATTCATTCAGTTCGTGTAGTGTTTACTGGCAATGAGAGCTATAAACAACTGCTCTTTATTGCTTTTGTCTTTGAAGTAACCACATGTATCTGTAGAAAGCACAGCTATATTGCTGTGATCAAAAACTCATCTTTTGAAGTCTTTACTGTAGCACTAGCTGGAACAAAGGAAAGTTAATGGATCAATTTGCCCCAGCATTGTATTATCAGAAAAGTTGCTTATCTTTTTATATCTGTGACAGAAAAATCCACGAAGTGAGGTGAAACAGGCCATTTTGTTTATTGTCAGCTGCGTGGTCTCTTGCTAGATCATAACCATTAAGAGATGTTTTCTTTAGCTCTTCAGCACAAATCGGTGAATGTCATACTGCATACATGGCTATGTAAAGGTTTAACGCTTTTCCTCATTGAAGAAGACAGAAGATGAAACGTTCCCGCCCCACAAGGCCTTTTTATCCTGGGCTTCCTGCTAACTGTCCCTTTGTCTGCGGACAGCTAACTGGCAGGAGGTCCTGCGGAAACACATTGACCCAGACCAGCTGCCCGCCTGCTACGGAGGCAACCTCACTGACCCCGATGGTGACCCCCGCTGCAAAACCATGGTGAATACCCGGGGTCTCAAGGGCTGGGGAGGGGGGACAGTCGGGTAAACAGTGTTGCTTTTAGGGCTCAGATTTTACCATGTTTCCAGAATGTTATTCTGGGTATTTGGGGGGGGGGGGATGTCAGTTCTGGACAATGAATTTGCCTGGGTATACAACATTTAAACACGGTATTGAGCAATGGAGAGTAAGTGAAGTACCTACTGTTGGAATCCCGTACACCTTTTTCAGTCTTGTTCCAGAGTGGGCTGGGATTCTGAAGCTCTTGCTCAGTCGCTGAGAAACAAGCTGTAATAGTAAGCGAGTGAGAGCATTATCTTAATTGGCACGATTTAGAGAGAAAGTACAGTAAATCTTTTCCAAAATGCCTCAGCTTACATGTTTGCACTTGAACAAATGTGAGAAAAAAATTATTTTAATTCTCCTTTAATGACGCCTCGCCCCTCTGATGCAAAGGCGTCTCAAGGTTGGTGGTTTCTGGGCTCATTGTGTGCAATTAGAAAGGGGTATAAATAATGGAAGTACATATGATAAACAAAATGCAGATTTTCTTTAGTAGTTTTCTCAATGTGCAGTCACACCCTGATTTAAATAAGGAAAAATTGTGTTTTTGAGATCACCTGTTTAGTATCAGTGCTGGTCCTGGATAGGGCCGACTTCAGACACCATATCTGCTGGGAACTGGGCTGATAACGGTGAACAGAATTCTGGCAGGACTAGGTCTGCTTTTATCAAATTACCTGGGCTGTTACCAGGTCCTCAGGAGGGGAGTTCAGAAACTCCAGAAAGAGGATATTCACGTTGCCCTGAAATGCTGCACTGCTTTCCAAATACCGCAGCCTGAAGGCACCGCATGGGCAAAGCTTGAAAGCAGCCCCCTGTTCTTGCGTAGCTTTCAGAGAAAATGTTGCAAGTCACTGCCGTAGCGAGCTGTGAGGGGACAGGACCGTTATGATGTAACAACATGCAACAGAGAAGTATACTTTTTTATGCATGTTTGAACCTTTTTGGGCTTAGTAGTATGTTTTGAAATCAGGTGTTTTCCCAGATGCTGCTGTCCTTCCCACAAACCAAAATTTGTTTCCTTGTTTAGAAACTGAAGTTCCTAATTTGGCTGCTGTGAACCATTGCTCCTAGTATCTTCGTTGCTTTGCCAGATCATAGCGCCCCCTAGAAGCTACTATCTGCGACAGTGGTTACCTTTCATGCCAGACTAGAGTGTCATTTTGATACCAGGGGAAATGAAGAAGAAGAATACAATAAAAAAGACCCAGATCTATAAAATTACATTTCAAAGAAAATTTTAATTGACTTTTTTTCTGTACCGTTTGATATCACAATGCTAGAGAAGAGCAGTCCAGAGGGAAATCTGTTTTGTTTACCTTATTATTTCATCCTTAGCTGCACATTTTATTATTCAGATGTTATTAAATACCAGAATGTACTGCATTATCCCAGAGACTGGTTTGAGAGCTGAAAGCATAGTCTGAGCCTTTTTATTCAGCGTTATGATACAAAGATGCTTTGTATCACAAAAGACTGCCTTTTGAGATAACAGAAATGATTTCAAGAGCATACGCAAAGATTAGCACTAAGTCCTTCAAATGCATTTATCTGAGTGGCGTTAAAAGCGTAAAGATTCTACTCTTCTTGAACTTCCGTACTTAAAATGTTACTGAAATGAAGACAGCTTTGGAAAAGATGAGCTTGCATACAGAATAAATTGATATATAACCAATAAGTCATTTTATCTGCAGTATAGCAGTTTGGTTCTCAGCAGTTTGCCATTGAAAAGTTGACAAAAATGAGTTAGGATGACAATAGTCATTAGACATGTCAGTAAACTGTCAGCCACTCATCTCATTGACTTTTTGCTATAAATGCTCCTGTTTGCCACCTTATGCTTTTGCTATCCTTTCTAGTACATTCCTAGTATCCCTCGAATTTGTTTATCCTCCAATCTCCCACGCTCTCCTTTCCTTGCGCTTGGAATGCATCGATGATGGAGCAAGTAGATCACTTGCCCAAAAACTGCAGCTGAACATGTATTAAATATAGCTTGCCCAGAGAGGCCAAACGCAACTAAAAAGGATATATACTGTACATAAAAATGTTAAAATTATATTTTTTTTTAGTTAGATTACCGTAGAGCTCGACACTCACAAAGCTGTGAACTTCACCATAAAAATAGAGATCGTTTTGTTGTGCAAGTTACATTTTACACATTTTTTTACAAAAAGATGTGTAATAGACAAGGGGATACATGGAATAAAGTTGCTTGCATCTAGAAGAAGTTAGGAAATTTCAGATAATTTTTAATCATACCTTTCTCTAACAAAGAAACACTGCTGTTTTGCCTTAGACATGGGCTGACAATTCTTTATTACAAAGTGCTGCTCTTAAAATGACTTTCTTTCATAGCTCTCCACGTCAGTTGCAGTCTAGATGTGTAATAGTGCCTGCACCCCTATAATCGGTTAGGTTTTTATTTTCTAAAAGTTTCAAGCAGAAAAGAGACAAATGACACCGTTGAGTACAAAGCTTTGTTTGCCTGTCGGGCTGTGACTACCCCTGGGCCTGTTGCAAGTGACAAAAATGTGATATTTCTGCCCCGTAGATACATAGGTAAAAGTGTGCTGTGCAGAGGAGGAGTGTTCTTGGTCATCTACTGAGACAAAGGGAACCTTTCTGGACCTTTCCTTCGGGACCCTGACGGGCTGAAATTAAGTTTCCACTCTCTTGTACTTTTCACCTCTTAGAATGTGTCTTGCCTCCCGCCTGTAGAGTACACACCTGCTAGACCCTGATCCACTCATCTTTTAGGCTTCCTCCAGCTTTCTGTACTGTACTTTACTTTACTTTAGAAATGGCTATTATAAAAAATGGATGTTTAATAATGACTTTAATGTTTGGTGATTTTTATTTGCTTGTGGTTGACTCGTATTAAGAAGGTTGCTCCAAGAGTTATATGCCTGAGCAGGATCCACCGTTAAAGGTGTGCCCCTGAGTTCAGGCCAAACTTCACCATCCAGGCGTGGCAGGTTCAAGCTTAAACATCTCAAGGAGTTGTCAAAGTGCTGGTATCTGATGGCCTAGGTGCTGCCAAGGGAGGAGTTTGCCAGGGCTCCAGGCTCTTGGGGCCCGCTGCAGTTTGCTGGTAGCTTGAAAGTTCACAGTGATGTGGATGAAAGATGCACCTTCTGCACAGGGCTGCACAGCCTGTGACATGTTAAAAGGGGAGGGGCTCAGAGGTGGGTGTGGTGTATGAAAGGGGAGTGGCCAAGGGTGGGCGGGTCAATGATGCCTACTCTTCCTCATCCCCGCACCCCCACTTTATGTGATTACAGGGTCTGTAAGCAGTAGCAAAACATCTTTGATCCCGGATATAAAAGCATATTTTTTTACTATTATTTAACACTTTAGAAGTGTGACTAACAAACAAAACAAGCTATGTGCTGCACAGGAACAAGTAATAGGTATATTCCATGCTGAAAAGAGAAGAAAGAAAACACAACGTTTCGGTCGTGGAGCCTTCCTCAGGTGTGAGCACACCTGAAGAAAGCTATGTGCTGACTCCTTTAATGATCAAAGCTTTTCCAAAACATAATCGCTCTCCTGCCTATTTAAGAAGGCTTCTGAAAGTTTTTTTTATTTTTCTGTGATGTGCACAGTGTTGGACTTAAGTGCCATCTGTATTAGGAATGGAAACCCTGGCTTAAACTATTTCCTGAAATTAAGTGGGCTCCATTAACAGGGATAAGGAAGTTGTAATATCTAAAAGCTGGAAAAAAGAATAAAGATTTCAAGGATCAAAAGGATTTGGACTTCAAAGCCTACAGTAGAACAATCCTTAACCTCCTCTTCTCTCCCTGTTCCTCGGTGTATTCTAGTGTCCTGCTGTGAGCTTGCTTGCTGTTGTAATGCTTTGTTCTAGACATTTCACTTGCTCAAGTGGGATGGAGAAGGCTTTGTGTTTCTTTTCCTTTGTTGAACTTAAACTTTGGGTAGCTGACCTTCTTACTTAAGTTGTGTGAGTTACAACTGTATCCTTTTGCTCCCTGAATTATTTAATACTGACAAATAATTTCAGAATTGTTTTAAACATGATGCATGGATGTAATGTGTCAAGAGATGCTTTAATGCTTTTCCAGCAGTGTATAAAAAATTGTACCAAGAAAGTCGGATAAAAGGGAAAGCTGAAAAATACATCTGTTGATTCTCATGTTTTTATTTGTGGATTTGTAAAAAACAAACCTACCCTGGGTTTCAGTGCACAGAGCTTTGTGATGAGTTGCTCATAAAATATTATTTTATGGTGGTTTATCCCAGTATACAGTACACCAATGTGTGGACCATCTCTCATGTCTCAGCACCTGCTGTAGGTTTCCCAGATCTTGATGACTAGTCCATATTTTATGTTTTTATATTTTGTGCTGACATGTCCTTTGAGGCATCTTTAGTAAATTAAACTAGTAAATACAGACAATGAGGTGAAGAGTAGGTGGAATTTGGTTTGCAGTAGCACAGCTGCTCATTTTTTTCATCATTGTATTATTTCCTGTAAGCTGGTAACTTGTTCAGTGTATGAAATGGAAAGAACATATTACAATTATATAAGGTTGTTTCAAATTAAATTAA